ACAAGGAGGGCGGGATTAGACTTCAGTTTTTATACTTCCCTTCTTTCAGGAACAAAGGGACTACACATGATAATACACTGTAATACATTTGGTTCGTTTCTCACGGGCATACAATGGAAGGTTTTGCTACATACAAAGTATCCATGTGCAATGCGCATTTGGTTAGCCACATATTACTGACACAGAACTTTCCCAGTGATTATGCATTACATCATTATTCTAGCAATTATGCAGACACATCATTATTGCAGTTATGCAGACAAATCATTATTCTAATAATTGTTCATTTTACTACATTAATACGATATTTCTCTTTTTATTCCTTTGATAATTTATTTTGATTAGGATCTTTATTCTGGTTTGGCTAAAAGGAAATATTTGACAGAATATAATCTTTATAGACTAAAAGTTTTACTGTAATGGTGCACCTCTCAATAAAGATAAGATAGAGCAATGAATCGGTGATAAGATATTGTGGCTTTTTTGGTGTCAACTCAAATCTCCTTGTGGCCACAGAAATATTAGAACTTCAATAATATGGCCTTATACTAATTCTGAGAATTTAATACTTCATTATTTAGAACAACCAAAAGGAACAACCTCAAAAATGTATACATTATTATTGCAATGAGAAATCAAGATCCACCATATGGATTAAAGGAAGCTGAGGATACCGATCTTGGTGATCTTATACAGGAGATAAACTGGCAGCAGCTATGGAAACCAGGTGGAGTCACCTCAGCTTCAATGCAAGAACTGTAGTGGAAAATTATAATCATTGCCATTGGACTCCTGTCAGATTGGCACATATATATTAAAATTATTCTTCCAAATACTGGAGAGATTATCAAAAAAGATCACTTTTTCATTTGTGGAACTGGCTTATTATAATATGTAGTGACATTGCTGTTATTAATATTCCCATCAATTGAAGGGCAGGTTAAAAGTTCCTACCAACTTCACAGGCAAATCTAGCTGGCGGTAAACCTTATGATTAAAGATATTAACCTTTGTTGGCTGAACCTTATTAGCTAAGATTGTATGTGTAAGGTTGGATCTGATAAAAAGATAAACAAGATTAAAAGTTGAACAAGACTGATTACCATTTGTAATCCCCCCCTCTCTCTCCCTCCCTCCCTCTCTTGGAGTAACTATAGGATTTCTCCCTTTATTAAGAATGTAGTGTTGCCTTAATAAACATTTCTGCAAAGGCAAATATCCAACATACTACAAATGTAAGACAAGGTTTTGAATGGAATATCTTTTTTATATCTTTTTCCAGAGTGAGGTCTTACAATATCATGGTTATCCTAATGAGGAACATGAAATCCTGACAAATGATGACTACTTCCTTACTATCAACAGAATTCTTGGAAAGAAAGCCTCAGGTTGTTTTTTTTTTGCTTTTAATGTTCACCAAAACAAAGTTTATTAATACTGATTTGCTCTTATGAAATATCCCCGTGATGGCAAACCTATGGCATACGTGCCACAGGCGGCACGCAGAGCCATCACTGTGGGCACGCGAGCCACCGCCCCGGAGGGAGGCGGGGCCAGGCTGCTCCCCTCCGCCTCTCCACATGTGCCTGCATTCTTGCTCTCTTTCTCTTTGCACTGAGAGTCAGGGAGCAGCTGCAAGAGCTGGGTGGATCTGGGCTGGATGGTGGAGGCAGCTGCCAGCACAAGTTCAGATAAGCCTCCGGAGTGATTTTTGCGGCACCCCAGCGGCCCGATCCGGGCTCTGGAGGCCTGGAAAAGAACTCTGCTGCCTGGATCGGCCATGGGGGGGGCGCAAAATCCCCCCACCCACCACGCAGATCGCACTGCCGCCACCGCCTTCCCCCTACCTATCATGCACATCGTGCTGCTGCCATCCCCCCACCCACCACATGGATCGCGCTGCCACTTGGAAAAGGCCCCACCCATTGCCCGGATCTAGGGCTGCAGAGCAATTTCGCACCCCCTCCCCATGGCTGATTCGGGTGGCAGAGGCCTTTTCCAGGCCTCCGGAGCTTGCATCCATGGCCGCGGGGTGATTTTGCGGCATGACAGTGGCCCGATCTGGTATCCGGAGGCCTAGAAAATGCTTCTGCCATCTGGATCGGCCATGGGGTGTGTGAAATCACTCTGCAGCCCTAGATCTGGGTGGCAGAAACATTTTCCAGGCCTCTGGAGCCTGGATTGGGCCACTGGTGCTCTGTACAATCATCCCGCAGCCATGGATGCGAGCTCCAGAGGATTGGAAAACACTTCTGCTGCTCGGATCGGCCATGGGGGGGGGGGGGCAAAATTGCTCTTTAGCCCTAGATCCAGGTGGCAGAAGCATTTTCCAGACCTCTGGAGGCCGGATCAGACCGCTGGCATGCCGTAAAATTGCCCCGCGGCCATGAATGTGAGCTGCAGGCTTGGAAAACGCTTCTGCTGCCTGGATCAGCCATGGGGGGGGGGCACACAATTGCTCTGCAACCCTAGATCCAGGCGGCAGAAGTATTTTCCAGGCCTCCAGAGCTCGCATCTAGGGCTGCAGAGTGATTTTTTTTTTTATTGAAAATTTTTAAAATTTTTACAATATAACTCCCCACCTCCCTCATACCCCACCCCTCCCCC